CCGGGCTCCAGAAGCCGGTGGCACTGCCTCCCTGTGCCCGCAGACGTGGCTGGTTCGTTAGCAGCTGGGCCCAGCTGAGCGCATCAGGAGGCTACGCTGGAGACACGCGCCTCAGAAGCCCAGTGGGCAAATCACTACTCAGCCCCAGAGGCCACAGACGTGTGATTTTCACACGGTCAGTGAAAGTGACAGAACGAACGAACTCTGGTTTCAGCTTGGAAGTCGGCACTCCCATCCTTATAAGAAAAAGCTGAACAAGCACAAAATCACAGAGAGATGTGACCAGGAGATGGCAGACCACCGGCCTCGCCCTCCTCGCCACCCTGCACCCACCAGCAGGGCTGCGCGGCAGTAACGGCGCAGTAGGGCTGCAGGCCATGGACTCTCTCCGGGCGGTGAGGGAAGCCGGGAGACAAGGGCCCCTGGCTGTGGACACGGGGGGAGTCTGAAGCCTCTGGCACCTACGGCTCAGCAAGCGTGACACGCAAAATCTGGCATTCGAGGCCTATTTATCTCAGTTCCTATTACCTAATGCATCATGTCTGGCTTCAATAAAAAGTTACAAGACAGCTAATAGGCAAGGAAAAACACAAGTCGGATGAGACAAAGCGAGCATCGGACCAGACTTGGATACGACACAGATGTGGGAGCTAGCGGACGGGCAACTGGAAGTAACTGGGATTACCACGTGGAGACTCAGGAGGACGGCGGACGGCACGGTGACGGCAGTGCCTTGCCTAGCGAATGCTCGCGGCCAGGGCAGCTTCTTCACAGGTAGTTTCCCCACACAGTGAGCACGTCACTGACAAAGGTGACAAGCTGACCCCCGCCACAGCCCCGGGGCCTGGCTGCTTGCACTAGCCTTCTGACCTTTGCCCTCTTCTCTGTGAAGGGTAAAGCCTCACAGTGAACGGGTACCCTAGGCAGGCAGCAGGACCGGCACCTTTTCTGAAAAAAATCTAGCCCGTCCAATGTGGAAGCTACCGCCTCCTTGTGTGCACTGTTCTCCTGCACGAGCAGCCTCCTTTATGCTGCCAGCTCTGCTCTGATCTCTGCCTTCTCTACTAAAACTCTCCTCCAGCTCCCACACCCTCTGCACGAGGACCGGTCCCTCCCCTGCCGCGGTGGCAGCTGCAGAGAGGGCTTCCCAACCCTGTGCACACTTTCTGCTCGAGCACTTGGAAGTGGGCCTTCTCCCCAAACTGGAGGTTCTCCATGACTTCTCTCTGAACAAAATTCCAGGCAAGCAAGCAGGCATGCAGGTGATTAAAATCCTATCTTTTTTTCCTTCCCCAAGAAGATGAAAAGTTCTTCCCAGCCACTGACTCAGGTTCAGCTTTCTCTGAAATTTCTCTTGCTTTCTTAAAAGATGTCACCTTCTGAATGACGCCTTTATCCACGGTTGACTGGAAGACTTGACATCGTGGAGGGGAGACGATCAAGGCAAACGAGTGCTACATTATAACCCGAGATCTCGGGGTGAGTTCTACTACCATTTAACTGTCTCTCCTCGGGGTAGTCCTGACTTACAGGAAACGTCTTCTAGGAAGCATTAATGTTTTCTTGTGCACATGCGCAGGCTTTCTCGTTTGAACTGGGCAGATTACTCAGTGCTTGACCTTGGCCAGAGAACCTGCGCCCCAGTCCTAGATGCCAGCGCTGCCAGTGATGCTCTTAGCTCCGTGACCATGTCTGTGCACATGCTGCGAGTTATTCTCCTTTCGTGAACTGTGTGCACTTGCGGGACCCTGAATCCAGCGCCTCCTTAATGGGGGTGTCCTCGGTACCGCACCTGCCCGACCTGAGTCCTGGCCCTGGTGCACGGAGCTGACCCGGGAACCCTGGCCCTCAATGGACCTCCATCGACACGTCGGCTGCTGAGTCCTCACTCCCATTTCTATGTGTCGTTGATCAGGCCTTCAGTGTTCTCTCTGTTGTTGTCCCTTTAGCTTATTTGTTCCACTTTTATTTTTCTTTCAAGTACAAGCACCGAAAGAGCAGAAAGTGGCTTCTTATAAATGCTACCAACTAAGTAGGAAATGTCCTTCCTCATACGAGACAGCCCTGAATTTTGGGCGGGATGATCTCTGGCTTCCTCTCCGCTGGGTTTCTCATTCCTGGGCACGGAGAAGCTGCTCTTCCCGGGGCCTGGCTTCCTGGAGGAGTTCCAGCCATTCTAAAGGCTGGGGTTTCCAGAGCTGTAGACGCACAGATGGCATCTCTTTCTCCGTGGCTCCTCCCTCAGCATCCCGGTCAATGAGACACCAGACCCTGCTTTGTAACCACGCCGCTCATCTGCCCTGTTTTCATGCAACATGTATTTGAGTTTTTACGGCGAGTTTTCTAAAAACCCTCAGTAGCCTCTACATTCCGGGATTATGATTTTCTTGGGCACTTCCAATGCAAACAACCTGCTTCTAGTTAAGTGGTGCAATGACGATAAAATGGCCCTCATAAAAGGCCACTCCAGCTGTCCTTGTACCTCGGGACGTGGAGTCCTCAGATCAGCAGCCAGCAGCTTGGCGCCCGGAGCCGTGGACCTCGGAGGCGTCGGAGGCTGGAAGGAGCTCCCAGGTTGGACAAAATGCCCTGACTCGCCTGCCTTCTTCCACCCTGGCTTTCAGAAGACAGCTCTCCAAAGACATTCAGCTACAGTCGGTTCTCCTGGCACGTAATTACGCACTAGGCAAAGGGAATCATAATAAATACAGAACCCCCGGAGCAGAAATACTTCACTGGCTTTTGGCAGGAGATACCACCAAGAGGGAAGACGCGGTGAGTTGTGTTGAGGCACCGGAAGATGGAGAACAGCGGGCTGCAGTCAAAGACAGACAAGTGGTCCTTCGCGTCTGAAAAGCTCGCCACGCATCGGCTCGGCTACCATCTTTCTGCGACCCGGGCATTCCACCAGGCCATGCTTGCCGAGGCCAGCTCAGGGCACATGCTGTTCCCGTGTGGCGGGGACCTGGCACACGGGGAACGGTCCTGTGGATCTTTTTATCTGCCCCGAGTCTTAAAGGCACATGTGCGTCTTTTCTAACCCAACAGTCTTGCTGCCCATCAGCATTCCGAGGGCTGGGGGCAGAGGGACAGCTCCCTGCATCGCACTGGCTGTGACCAACCCCACGTGCAGGCGACGTACGAGTCTACGGAGCTGAAAAACAGGAGGCTCGGGAAGAATGAGGCTCCCAGGGAGTCACTCTGTCAGTAGCAAGCCCCGGCTGCTGACCCACCCACATTTCATGAAATGTTATATTTAAAACACACATACACAAATACAGCACTTAAAATGTGCCAGACACTGTTTTAAGTATATTACAAATATTAACTCGTGTAGTCCTCACAGCCAGCCTATAGACAGATATAATAGTCCTAGTTCTAGGATGAAGACACAGGTGCAGAGCAGGTACCCTGCCCAAGGTCACGGCTGGCTAACGCGGGGCAGTTAGGGGCCTGAGCTCACGCAGTCTGGCTCTGGTCTGTGCTGTTAACCACGGAGCAGAAGAGCGCACAGACGGGGCTGTGGCACTTGTGCACGAGCATGCCTTCCCGAAGGCGGCTGCTCTGTGAGTCTCTGGTGTAGAAGTTACACCCACCCCCAAAACAAACCTGGGACGTATGATGAAAATACTGTGCTTCACAGGCTGTAACGCTTTCTGCCGGGGACCACCCACCCGACGGCCCCAAACACCCTCCGAGGCAGGCAGAGCCGTGCTGCAGGTCGCAAAAGCCACTCTAAGGCACGGTGTCTTTAAACGTTAAGAACACAGTTAAGGTTCAGTCCCTCAGCGTCACAGGCCACGTGGGGCTAGTGGCCACCAGACTGGGGCCCGGAGAGAGACCATTTGCAACAACAGCGAGCTCCACTGCACAGCACGAGTCAAGCCCTGGGGTGGTTTCTTTTCGTGCTGCAGTCTGAATATCCTTAGCAGCAATAACCTCATCTTTTCTTCCTCACGAATACGCCAAGTTCAAGTTACAGTTCCTGTTTTTGAAAAAGTTCTGACCCCCTACATTCAGTTCCAAGGGGGAGAGTGGATTACTTGTAAGCAGGTCAAGTACCCCCCTTACCCCCAAGTACCTGGCACCCAGAACGTACTGCTTCTTCCCTACTGTTAAAAGTCGGGCGAGGAGAAGGGAATTCATCAAAAAGGACCGCAGGCAGCAAAATCTAACATTTGTTAAAGAGGAGACCTTAGCTTTGTCTCAGACACTGAGTTCTGAGGCACAGACTCGAATGGTCCCAAGGAGGCCGGGTAGGAGGGCAGCCACGTCCGCACAAACTCACGCTCCCATCCGAGAAGCGGTGCAGAGACTCGCACCCCCACAAAGGCGCGGACTCACACAGACTTTTTTAGGGAAAAACAAGGCGTCCAACCCCCAAACGGGTCAGGCGCCATGGGGGCTGGCGCCAGATTTCCCGCTGAGAGCAAAGCTCTTCTTACCGTAAGCTCTATCACCCTCAACCTGCTTCACTAGGGCACGTACATAAATGATAACACGCTGTTCGTTTCACGTGGGTTCATGCTGCAACGAAGCAAGTGTGAACAGCAGCTTAGTAATAATGAAAAAAAAAAAAAGCACAAATACCAGGACACTTCCATAGGTCCGGAATCTAAAATCCAACCTCTTCCCGATTTCTCAGCGTGAACTCTACAGCAGCCTGGAAAGACCACACGAACGACCAGCAGGTCCCGCCTTGTTCTAACACAGGTTGTCGTTAACGCAAAAAGTTCCCCTCTTTATGTCTTTTTCTCCACGGCTTCTCTCACCCCGACTTTCTAGTCCTATAAACGTTTAGTAACCCAATGGAATTTTTGTGCGGTTCTGTGATAGAGAGCTTTCTTTTTTACTTTGGATGAATGAGGTATTCCTTACCAAGCAGGGCTGAAAGGAATTGTTAATGTCTGGTTATTTTTAGCTGTCAGAACACCTTAAGCTCCTCAGAGGATACAGATTTTTAAAAAAAAAGCAGTAACGGGAATAACGGTATTACGTACTTGTGACTTCCTGTAAGAAATCCAGACACGGTCGGCCGCTCCCAGAAATACTCAGTGAGACCGCCAGCGGGGTCTGCCCCTCATAGTTCCTTGTGTTCGTGTCCGCGCCGTAATTATATAACATCCGTGCACAGAGCACATCGTCCCGGAGCGCGGACAGGTGCAAGGGAGTCTGTCCGTCTTCCAAGCGACCCAAGTTTGTGTCTGCTCCTCTCTGAAGGAACATCCGGCAGTAAGAGTGGTTGCTCTTGATCACGGCGTAGCGCAGCAGGAACCCGTTCTGGATGTCGATGTTGGCGTTGTGGTCCAGGAGGATCTTCACACAGCTGGACCGCTCCCGGATGATGGCGAGCTGAAGCGGCGTCGTGCCTTTGTCGCTGAGCGGGTCGACCTCGGCCTTGAACTCCAGGAGGAGCCGGACGAAGGAGTCCCTGCCGTAGTGCGCGGCCACGTGGAGGGGTGTCCAGCCGTCGTTGCTCTTGGCGTTGATGATGTCGCTCCTGTACTCGGACTCGAGCATCAGGCGTGCGATGCGGGCCCGGCCGTGCATGGCTGCGTAATGAAGCGCGGTGAAGCCTCCGATCAAGTCCTTAACCGTGGGATCCGCTGGAGGTAAAACCGAAACGAGAACGTTAGCAGACTCTGGGACAAAGCGACGGGCCCTCGCGGCGGCACGGCACCTTCGGGCCAAACTGCACGGGACACAGGACACAGGACTGGACTGCACATGACCCACGGACACTGAACCCTTCTTTCCCGAAGGCAAGTTTTAACAGGAGGTAAGTTTTCATGGGAAACCAAGTTTAGGAGGACGCTGTCAACCCCAGTTAACGGAATAAGGATGCCTCACAGAGTTTAACACACAGGGTTGAGATCACCGGGCCCCTTGTCTTCACTAATTGAACCGACTGCTTTCAGCTGCTCAGGCTGCCCCGTCGCTGCACTGCTCCACGTTCCTCTTTTGCTTTAACTTTTTGTTTTATTTTCTCCTGTGCTTCTTGGTCTTAAAAAGAACCACGTGAAGCAACATCTGCTCTTCTCAATTACGGATGTACTGTGGTCTGGCAGACTGCACTGTTTCGGGGTGTATTAGGTTAAAGAAAAAGTTTCTCTGCGGTCTGTAAAAATTCCAGAGCATGTAGATATATGTTAAGTGATCTGGATAAATCATGTTTTCATAAGATAGAAAAGTCTACTCTGAATTCTTAGTTTTATAAGACTTGTTGGAATCGGTAAGAATTAAGCAGCGCGTTGTGTGAAGAATGGGAAGAAACCTCAGCACTGTATAAATATTATTTTCTCCAACAGTTCCGAAACCTCCTCCTCCATGGACGGATTTGGGGGTGGGGGTGGGGCAGAAAGAAAGAAGAGGAAATGCATTTGCTACGTGACTCCTGGGTCACAACGCTGTCACCTGCCCCAGCTCGCCCCCGGGTCTCAACTCCGAGGGTGTCTCTAGGCACAGCCTCCGCATTCAGGAGCTCACGTGCTGGAGGCCAGCGACTCCTCACCAAGGTGAACGGGTCAAACCTGCCTGCCTGGGACTGAAAGGCTTTTTTCTTCTAAAAGCCGCTCTTCCGTTTTGGTTTGGTCGTGGGGGAGAAAAACTCACGTGTTTTTCCAACAAACAAACAGAACGCCTCCAAAGTCGTGTGATAACGTGTGCATGTGGCTTAGTAAAACGTCACTGAGTTCGAAAACACGACCTTGGGTCTCTTGGAACAGTCTATGAGGCAGGAAGCTTTGGGTAAAATAATAATATTTTGCAGAATGCAAGTTTCGGTTAAGAACAGGTTGCTGACAAAACCTGCGATGTTACCACTTTTAAAGGTAAGCTGTGTCAGTTAAATTGCCGACTGCTATATATCAGATCATTAAATGTAAACTAACAGTACAGAGGAGTAATGTTACTTTTCTTCATTTAAAGAAAAGGAGGGTATCCTATCTGCCTGGTTCCTCATTAAAGTAGAAGTATACAGTAACTATGTCTTATGACTTTAAAAAAAAAAAAAAAAAAGGAAGGTGAGAATATTTTGGTTGGCAGGTTGATGCTCAGTCCCGTGAACCACACCAGCCAGGGCCCGGAGAGATTTGAACAAAGCACTTTGCTGCCACCTTCTGGTCCACCAAGGACATGAGGCCAGTTCCCATGCTGACAGAGGGTGCTCGGCTTCCGACACCTCACTTACCTGAGGCAGACTGAGTGAAGACAGGCATAAAATAAAAAAGAACCCTTCTAGTCACACGAAAGAGAAAGTCTTGCCAAGGTGTCCATTTCTAATCCACACCTGACCCATCAACTGCTTCCAGACATTCTCTCACAATCCTGCAGTGAAATCTGATACCACCCGCGTTCTTTTCTCCCACCTTCTGTCCACCGGGTGGCTTGAAATCGCCAACCAACTGTCTTACGTGCATCCTGTACTTGACAGCAAAATTAAAATCACGTTACGTGACACTGCACTTGCACCTTTGGTTTTCCGCTTTAGGTCTTTTTCAGGTTTTACTTACATTTTTGGCGCTATACTGTTAGGAAAAACAATGATTAACATGTGCAGCGATGACTTGATTAATCTCAGTGAAAACCATTAAAATACGGGAGCTGAGCACACGCTGAAAAACCCGCACAGAATAAAGAGTTTTAGGTAACAATGCGTAGCATCTGCAGAGTTACTTGAGGAATCGACGAAGGGGAGGTCCATGACAAATGACGATGCAAACAAAAATGAACTTAAGGGTTATTGTTAGCCAATGCGACAGGAAAAAGATCTACCTGGGAACAGCAAGAGAAGCTGCAAAACATCTAGGTATTAATTCACTAAGAAATACACAAGGCACCGATGAAAAAACTTTGACATGGACTCGGTCCATTCGTGTCTGCTCACATGTCCGTTCATCAGAAAAGCCTTCCCTGAATACTGGTAGCAGCCCATCAACCTCGTTACTGTATCCACTCAGCAGGCGTTTCTGCACCAGGTACAAACCATTTAAAACAGGATGTGGGATACATAGTCTCAAGGCACCCACTGAAATCTATGGAAACACTTGAAACTGTGTGTAAAAGCACATAAGCATTCCCTGTCATTACACTTTCTTTTTTCTGACAGCTTTATTGAGGTATGAGACACTGACCAATTTTAAGCATTCCGTTTAGGTAAGTGGACTTTGAAAAACTGTATCGGGTCCTGTAACATTTCCATCATCTCAGAAAGTTTCTGCCTGCCTCTTCAAGGTCAGTTCTCTACCCAGAATTCTTTGGGTCCCAGGCAGCCACTGAAGTCTTTGCCTTTCTAGATAGAATTACCTATAAATGAAACCACAGAGTACGCAGACTTTATATTTGACTTATTTCACTTAGCATGATACTTCTGAATGTTGTTTTCATTCCTTGATATTGTTGAGTAGTACTCATAATGTGGACCTTCTGTTATTTATCTACTCACCAGCAGACAGATAATGGGTTATTTCCAGTTTGAGGCTATTATGAGTAAGTCTACTGGGAACATTCAGAAACAAGTCTACCTGTGGATACGTGTTTCTGTCTCCCTTGGGTAAATACCGAGAATGGCTGGCTCACGTGTTAGGTGTGCATTGAAGAAACTGCCCAACTGTTCCTAGTGGCTGTACAATATAGTTCCTTCCCACCCGTAGTACAGGGTGGGGCGAGACTATGTGTATAGTTCTGAGTACACGAACAGCTTATTCTTGTATTATGCACTATATTATTTTCCATATGAGTTGGAAACCCACTTTTGCCCCAACTTGTACATGTGAGTTCAAATTGTTTTTCACTAATACCTGGCAATCACTAGTCACTTTAATTTCACCTATTCTAGACAGTATAAAGCAGTAACTTATAGGAACTTAATTTTCATTTCCCTGATGACACGTTGATATTGAGCTCATTCATATACTTTGTTTTGTGACATGTCTGATGAATCACTAACTTATTTTTTATTGGCTCATTTTCCTCGCTGAGCTCACAACTCAGCTGTGTATATATTCTGGATACAAGCCCTTTGTCAGACTTGTTTTGTAAACATTTTCTCCTAGTCTGTTGTGCCTTTTCATTTTTTTATGCTGTGTTTTTTAAAGAACAAATTTTAATATTGGTGAGGTCAAATGTCATTTTTTTTCTTTTATGATTTTGTGCTTTTTGCATCCTCTTTAAGAAACCTTTGCCCGACACAACGTCACACAGATTTTCTATGTTTTCTTCTAGTCGTCTTACACTTTTAACTCTATGTTTAGGGAAATAACCCCGTTGCTAGTTGATTTTCATGTACAGCGTCAGGTCAGATCCTGGTTCATTATTTCCCCCAGAGAGTAGAGATCCAGTTGTTCCAGCACAGTTTGGGGGAAAGACTAGCTTTCCCCCAACGATTTATCCTGACGTCTTTGGCAGAATCAATCTACCAGGCAAGTGTGGGTCTATTTCTGAACTTTATTTGCTCCACTGATCTAAAAGTCTGTCCATATACCAAGACCAGATTAATTTGCTTGCTGTAGCTTTATTCTGAGCTCTGAGAGCAGGTAGTGCATGTCTTCAACTTTCTTTAAAACTGTTCTGGCTACCTGGCTGCTGTAGCTCAGTGGCTTGAACACTGGCCTACAAACCAAAGAGTTGCGGGTTCGATTCCCAGTCAGGGCACATGCCTGGGTTGCAGGCCAGGTCCTCAGTAGGAGGCCTGCGAAGGGCAACCACACATTGATGTTTCTCTCCCTGTCTTTCTTCTTCCTTTCCCCTCTCTCTAAAAATAAATGTAAAAAATGTTAAAAAAGAAAAACTGTTCTGGCTAACAAATTAACTTGTCCATTTTTTGAAAGAAGCCTGCTGGAATTTTGACTATAACTCTACCTATTCTAAAAACAGAAATCTCCCTAAAAATGATATTGATTCTTTGGTACCATGAACATGAAATATTTATTGGTTTAGGTCTTTAATTTCCCTCAGCAATGTTTTACAGTTTTCCGTGTACAGGTCTCAGGCATTCTTCATTAAATTAACTACGAAATATTTCAAGTTTTTGGCAACTCTTCACAATTTCCATGTATAGAATCATGTTCTCTACAAACAAAGACAGTTTTACTTCTTCCGTCCCAATCCACAGGACTCTTCCTTATTCCAAAAGCTAGAACCTCCGACAGAATGTTGAATGGAAGGGGTAAGAGCACACACCCACCCTGGCCTTAGTCCTCACCTTGGAGGGAACGGCTCACCATTTCCTGTGACGTAAGTTGTAGTTTCTCACAGGCAGCTTCCCTGGGATTTTGCAAGTTATCTTCTGCTTCTGGTGTGCTGAGTCTTTGTGATGAGTGGGTATTTTATACAGTCATGAGCATTTTCTCTACTTATTGAAATGATCATTTGTTTTACTTTTGTGCTATCAATATGGTAAATTACTCACCATGCTGATTTTCAGATGTTAAACCTCGTATTTCTGGGATAAATACTCTTTGGCTGGGATGTAACATATACTGATGGATTAGATCTGCTGGGTTTTTTGTTGTTGTTGTTGTTAAGGATTTTACTTGTTTAGTCTATTATCATGAAGGACACTGGGCAGTAGTTTTCACTCCTGGCAATGACCTGGTTTTCTATCAGT